TTCTTTCTGTCACATTCCAGATAAACAATGCATTCTTTTGGCCTCACAAAGAAGCCTCACGCAGTTCTTATTCCTTACCCGGCTCAAGGCCACATTAATCCTATGCTCAAATTTGCAAAGCTCCTACACACTCATGGATTTCATATCACCTTCGTCAACACTGAGTTTAACCATAAACGCTTGCTTAAATCCAGAGGTCCCAACTCTCTTGATGGCCTCCCTTCCTTCCGCTTCCACACCATTCCCGACGGACTCCCGCCGACCGATGTCGATGCCACCCAAGACGTACCCTCCCTCTGTGAATCAACCAGGAAGAACTGCTTAGCTCCCGTTAAGCAACTTCTCTATAAGCTCAATGATCCCTCTTCCAGCTCCGATAACCCTCCGGTAACTTGCATAGTTTCCGATGGAGTCATGAGCTTCGCCGTCGACGCAGCTGAAGAACTCGGCCTCCCCATCTTGCTGTTTTGGACACCTAGCGCTTGTGGCGTCTTGAGTTACCTTCATTACCGTCATCTTATTGAAAAGGGTTTGATACCTCTAAAAGGTAGGTGTATTGTTTATTTACAGTAATATTATATATGTTATATATGCAAATTAATTTAGTGTAACTTGGCTTTTGATTTGCAGATGAGAGTTATTTGAACAATGGGTACCTCGATACTGCTATACATTGGATACCAGGCATGAAGGATATCCGGTTGAAAGACCTGCCAAGCTTTATCAGGACAACTGATCCAAATTCCATCATGCTAGATTTTATTATGGGCGAGACAGAGCGAGCCAAAAGAGCTTCGGCAATTGTGTTAAACACGTTTGATGCCCTGGAGCACGATGTTTTAAGTGCACTGTCCCCGTTGCTGCCGCCTATTTATCCCATCGGCCCCTTGAACTTTCTAGTAAATCAGCTGGTCGATGATGAAACAAAACAGATAGGCTCAAACTTATGGAAGGAAGATCGCGGGTGTCTGCCATGGCTAGATTCTAAGGAAGCCAACTCGGTTGTTTACGTGAACTTTGGAAGCATAACAGTCATGACAACCAACCAACTCGTTGAGTTCGCTTGGGGGCTGGCGAACAGCAAGAAGACGTTCTTGTGGGTGATTAGACCTGATCTTGTCGTCGGCGATTCGGCCGTATTGCCGCCGGAGTTTGTGGAGGAGACTAAAGAGAGATGTTTTCTGGGCAGCTGGTGCCCGCAGGAAGAAGTTTCTAAGGCACCCATCAGTCGGCGGATTCTTGACGCATAGCGGGTGGAATTCGACCCATCGAGAGTATTCTGCGCCGGCGTTCCGATGATCTGCTGGCCATTTTTTGCAGAGCAGCAGACAAATTGCAGATACTGTTGCGAGAAATGGGGTATAGGCATGGAGATTAACAATGATGTAAAAGAGATGAAGTTTGAGAGCGTAGTTCGAGAGCTCATGGAAGGTGAGAAAGGAAAAGAGATGAAGAAGAATGCCATGGAGTGGAAGAGGATGGCGGAAGAGTCCACTTGTTCGTCTTGTGTGAAACTGAAGGCGATGATTGAAAAAATCCATCTACATCAAGATTAGGCTGTTGTTAACTAATTCATGTATTCCTGCTAATCGAAACTATTTTATTTCTACCTCTCTCGTAGTTTTTGTTGAATTTTTCGTATCAAATATTTTAATAATAAAACAAACTTTTACCTTAAATTCAATGCATTAGTTGATAATAGATTTTTTCTCTATAATAAAAAAATAATATCATTTTTAAAGAAGAATATATATAAGAAATTACTTTTGTTATTTAAAAAAATTCGAATCTGTTCATACATTATTTTTCCATTTAAATATTCTAAAAAATTTAAATTAATCTATTTTTCGTTTCGAATATTACTAGTAATTCCGTGCACCTATACAGGCTGGCCGATCACATTCTCGACGGTTCACCGGAACTAATGCAGTTGCAGAAATTAATTGCAGACAGGGAGAGAAGAATTGAATAATTAATATTTGCATGGGCAAAAATAAAATGTAAAGGGACAAAATTTGATTTGCCGCACGCACATCATTATTTGACAATAAATTTCTCTCACTGTATTATTAATATTTTTGTTTGATTTTACAAAAAACATAACTTTGAATTTGATTCTATGTTCTTTATGTCCTTGTTGTGAGTTTATTTCATACTTAATATATATGTGTATAATTTATTAATAAAAATACTCTATAACGTTCATGTATTAAAATATTATTATTTTTTTATTTTTAAAATTAAAATACATAATAAATTAAAGAAGATTTGACCTGTTTTCTATATCTCATTTATTTTCAAAATATAATATTTTTTTTGTTTTAAAATAATCTACTAGCTTGCTCCACCGCCACCCATGCCACTATCGCTAAGGATTGATTGATATCTCTCGTAATGAATGTTGTGATAAATCTCTTGCTTCGGCTTTAGTTGGCTCCTATTTCTACTTCTCTAGTGTTGTTTTCCCTATGTAGTGGGGTGTGAAGGACAACCGGCAACAATCGACTAAACAAGACAAGTGTGCCAACTTGTTTAGATCAGTGAAAGGTCCCAATCAGCATGCCAACTCATTCCACAGCTCCCAGACAAACACGCATGACCGACAACTAGAATACAATCGTCCTCCTAATAGAATAGAATCGTCTCTCACTGAAAACCGTTAAAGCTGCATATATTTTCTTATTTCTTCCGCTTTAATTGGTAATGAAAGTTTGTTGTTTTTCTGTGTTATTTTTGTGTTTTTCTTAAATCCCTGTAAAGAGCTGTTGAGCTCTATAAATGTATCATTCTCGCTAACAAAATCAGATGAATGAAAACCAAGTAATTGTGAATTGTCCAGCTTTTCATATCAACCAAGATAATTTGTTTTCTTAACTTGGTATTAGAGCTAGCAAATGACAGGAGAGAATATCAACTCCTCAACCTTCAACCCAACACCTCAAAAAATTCAAACTTTATCTAGCAGCTCAATGAGCTCTGTGTACTCTGAAACTCAATCACGATAACTATCTCATCTGAAAAAATTTAGTACTTCCAATCATAAGAGGAAACAAAGTCAAAGGTTTCCTCACTAGTGCCAAATCAAGCCCATCAGAATACACAGAAAGAATTGCAGAACGAAGCACTAAAGTCGAAATCATAATGAATCCAGAATTTGAAGACTGGTTTGCACAAGATCAGATGCTACTGGGTTGGCTTTACAGCTCGATTGAAACAAACATAGCCTCTACACTGATGGGATGGAATCCGGGATCTCTTCACAGTAAAAACACGAGAAAAATATAAATTCTTCCATCAAAACTCCTCTGGATGAATCCAGGATTTCTTCGCAGTAAAAACACGAGAAAATATAATTTATTACAAAAGAGAATTCGTTAAAATGCAAAAGAGAAACTTTAAGATGGAAAATACCTCAAATCCATCATAAAAATTATTGATAACCTTCCTCTAGCAGGACACCCTGTTACACTGGAAGATCTCACTTCTCAAGTTCTTGTTGGCTTAGATTCCTCTAAATACAACTCACTCATATGCCAAATCACGAAAAGAGATAGCATAAGTTAAGTCAAACTTCAATCTCGACTACTCAATTATGAAAGACCGTTAGA